AGGACACGTTAGTGTATAATCGGAGTGAGGCCAATTGAAAAATGTGATTTCATCACCACTCGTTCGATTATAGTTTTTACGACCCGTTAAAACCGCTTATTGCCATTTTGATGTTAACGCACACACAGCACACACACACCACACACACACACACACACACACCACAACACACACCACACACACACACACACACATCACACATCATGACACACGCACACACGAGGTCACGCACGCACGCACGCGCACGGAGCATTCACACACACACACACGACACATGCACGCACGCACTCACAACCGCAACAGCACACAACGACACACACACACACAACACAGCCACACACACACACACACAACACATTGCAACGACACACCACACACACACGCACGCACGGCACACACACAGCGCGCGCACGCGACGCACACACACACGCACGCACGCACGCACAACGGCCCCTATACACACGCACGCACGCACACACACACACACACAACATGCGCGCAAGCACGCACACAACAACACATAACTGTCATTTTGTAAATGTGGGGAGCTATTACGTAATACCGGATTACTTTAGCCTGATCCGGCAGATGTAGTAGCAGTAATAATAAACGCAGTCAACGCGTGTGACACTGACCCACTCACTTGACTGGCGTTAAATTCGATAAACCCAGCAGGAATGTGCAACTTACCCGACCAATTTTAAGAAAAGAGATAAAAACATAATAACGAATTGTTAATAGACTCGAGAATTAGCGTAACATTTTCCTTGTTAGTAGACAGAATGAATATCGTGGCGTGTTTTCAGTAGTGATGCTGAAAGTTCAACGCTCTAACAATTCTTTCTTCAATCTAAACCACGAAAAAACAAGCGATATATATGAACTGGATCAGTACGTGTGCAGTCTGACCGGCACTCATCTAAAACGTAATATCAGTGCCTCTAAAAATAACGAGCACATAATCATCGGTACAACTTACTCTCAGAAATGAATATACCAGATGGGCTCTATAATTATGCTCTCTGTTATAGTCTCACCTTTCACTTACCACGAGAAATAAGGGGATCTTCTAACTGAAGTAATATATACGCGGGTTTTATGACATAGCAGCCGACGATGATTCTGGGCATATAGAAATCCGTTATGGGAACTATCGTCGAAACCCATACGCCATCACAATCTAGCATTCTCGTGTATGCCCGTAAAGTTCTGCAAACTTACCAAACGGCTTACAGCGAACGTAACGCACGTTGCTTGCAAAATTACCGTTCGTTCTGCTGTTCGGTTTGTCAGTCGATGATTCAACAGTTATATTCGCGTGTGAAACACAGACTGACGCTGTGATTTCGAGTGCCCACTCTGCGCTCAAAACGAGTTAGCGACTCGTGTCAGTTAGTATTAAATAATAAATATTATAAATAGCCATACTCATTTAGTATGACCGGGTCGTTGCGCATTGCCATGGCTCGTGATGTATTAAAAGTTCACAACGAAATAATGAGCAAAGCTGGAGTAAACGGCTCGACCAACGAGCAACTGTCGGCATGGGTGCGTGTGTGCGGGGATATATGGTGCGTGTGTGCGGGGATATATGGTGCGTGTGTGCGGGGATATATGGTGCGTGTGTGCGGGGATATATGGTGCGTGTGTGCGGATATATGCGTGGCGTGTGTGCGGATATATGGTGCGTGTGTGCGGGGATATATGGTGCGTGTGTGGCGGGGATATATGGTGCGTGTGTGCGGGATATATGTGTGCGTGTGTGCGGGGATATATGGTGGGCGTGTTGTGGCGGGATATATGGTGCGGTGTGTGCGGGATATATGGTGCGTGTGTGCGGGGATATAGTGGTGCCGTGTGTGCGGGGATATATGGTGCGTGTGTGCGGGATATAGGTGGCGGTGTGCGGGAATATATGGTGCGTGTGTGCGGGATATATGGTGCGTGTGTGGCGGGGATTATAATGGTGCGTGTGTGCGGGATATATGTGCGTGTGTGGCGGGGAATATATGGGGCGTGTGGCGGGGATATATGGTGGCGTGTGTGCGGGGATATATGGTGCGTGTGTGCGGGGATATATGGTGGCGTGTGTGCGGGATATATTGGTGCGTGTGTGGCGGGATATATGGTGGCGTGTGTGGCGGGATATATGTGGCGTGTGTGCGGGATATATGGTGCGTGTGTGCGGATTGGTGGATATATGGTGCGTGTGTGCGGGGATATATGGTGCGTGTGTGCGGGAAATATATGGTGCGTGTGTGCGGGATATATGGTGCGTGTGTCGGATATATGGTGCGTGTGTGCGGGGATATATGGTGCGTGTGTGCGGGGATATATGGTGCGTGTGTGCGGGGATATATGGTGCGTGTGTGCGGGGATATATGGTCGTGTGTCGGGGGATACTGGTGCTGTGTGCGGGATATATGGTGCGTGTGTGCGGGGATATATGGTGCGTGTGTGCGGGAATACCTATGGTGCGTGTGGTGCGGGGATATATGGTGCGTGTGTGCGGGATATTGGTGCGTGTGCGGGGATATATGGTGCGTGTGTGCGGGGATATATGGTGCGTGTGTGCGGGGATATATGGTGCGTGTGAGCGGGGATATATGGTAAATGCCGACGGTACGTAAGACTGCGTCTACATCCAACCATATAAAAGAAAATCGAAATAAAGAAATACGATTGAAATCAGATGCATTACGACTATATTTTTGGCTTTGAAATACCCACATTCTACAAAAAGTCAGAATCATTACGAGGATTGATTGAATTGCTTGTGACGCGACCCGTGCATGCCTGAACAGTAATCACGAACCGCAATCATTAACGTCCTTACAGATGTATCCAGTCGTGTGTGAATTACAGTGCACCCACATCTACATCTATTCACTTGGGACTTTTTCAAGGTTAAAACCACACAGGAAGTAATGCTTTGTGGTTTGCCAGCCAAATTATGTGTTTGCATCGGGACTTTCTTAAGTTAGCATCAAAAATACTTCTTTTCCTGCCATCCCCCCTACAGACGTCCCAAGTGTCCCGGTCTCACCGGGATCGTCCCGGTGCGACATGCTGGTCCCGGTATCCCGTTAAGAGTCCAGAAAGTTCCGGTCATAACATTTTTCAGCCATATTTTAAAAATTTACATCAGTAAATTACTAAATTTGCCGTGGTTGTTGATGTACATTGATTACAGCAAACAATAAAAGGCCACAAATGTCAAACACTTTTGTTTTCACAATAAATTTGAATTTTATTTTACATGTATACTTTATGAAAAATGGTGGTGTGCCGCGACAAACACATTTCGCAGCCAGCCACAACCTTTTTCCTGTTTTTGCGCACCGTGAAAAAACGGCGATAGACCATTACCACAAGTGATCTCTTTCTTGCATTTTCCAAACTTGGGACCTCTGCCCATATCTACATGAGCATATGATTCATCCTAAGCTAAAGAACAGGGAACATGTAGATTTCATGCAACGTAGATTTGTTTTGATGAAACGTTATATAATCATTTATTTTCACACCATTATCTTTTAGCTTTAGCATATAACATCAAACAAATTTATAAATAATGAAAGCAATATTAAAATGCATTTATATTTTTGGCATGTCAAAATTGCAGCGCCATCCAGTATTGCTGTTAACACTACTCATTATAACACATCACAAATAGTCAGGCCTTGTATATCAGTAATATGTCCATGACTAAAATGGATTAATGCCCAAAAAATATGAAGTCATCCATATCGTATTACACACAGTTTAAATATATGTATAGAACAACTGGATCATATAAACACACTCTCAATAAACCATACTACAAACAGAAGCTCATAATAACTATAAATGAGATTCCTTGTTACGGACAGCTAGTGAACACGGGAAGTGAATGCTTAGCAGCATGTCCATAATACTTGCTTAAACACATATCTCTGTACTTTTTTCTTATATCTCCAGGCTTGTCACAGGTTTATAAAGTAGCAGGCTAAACTACCAAGGTAGGCGGCTGTCTGCTGCCGCAGGTCGCAGCCGAGCAGCGCAGCTACTAGGGGGTGGGGGAAGGGGTGGCCCCCTCCCCCAGATTAGGGGGGTCCGGCCCCAGAATAAAAAAAATTAAACCTCTTTCTTAGATGTAATTTCCTGCATTCTGAGTCAGAATTATTAAACAATCTTCATCACAAAAATATCACTTTCACGTTGAGTGTTTTTATCTTTGGGGACACCAAACACTAAAATACTTAAAAAAGAGAAACATAAACTTCAAATTGTTGAGGGTTGAACTGCCCAGTCTCTGTCACTGTATTTGTGTAAGTACAATGATAAGGCAACGTAATGTGGTTAATAAGTTAATCTATCTGCCAACTGAATAGCTAACTCAGATGTCCGTCGATGCTTATTTTCAGATCTGGTTGTCCTGTCGGGCAACAAGATCCACTTTTTACATGTCAGAACTTTGATTTTACTTGTCCAACATTTAATTGCAATCCATGAGCCATTAAGGTTCATTTTTGGTTCAGTGCATATCATATTACGAGTAGTGTATAACACAGAGATCTATATTATATTATATAAATATATATATATATATATATATATATACATATATATATTTATTTATTTATTTATATTATATATAGAGATATATATCGATATTATACACTCCTAATATTACAGTATATACATGGAAAACCCCACGCGGCTTTAAACAATCACGCACTCCCCCCCCCCCCGTACATCAATCAATGCCGCCCTAGCCATCACGGCTACACAGCCACACTGTGCTGGCTGCTTTTTTCGGCGACTTTTAATAATAATACCGTGAGAATGTCACGCGATAGCGCCCTGGCTCAAAGGACGCTAGGAACATTAAACAACTAGAATTTTTCAGTTGTCCGATCGGGCAATCGAGCCGGTTCGGTTTCAGTTTTATTGTTGTTGTTTTTTTTTAAAGTAGCCGGCCAAATCATGAAAATTCACGGCGGTTTTCGCCGGCAGCAGGTTTGATTTGACAAGCCTGATCTCTATAATGTTTGTTTATATCACCTTCATGCCTGCTAACATCACTATAAAGAGGGCACCATGTTTCCATTATTGGAACAATTATTCCAATTTATTATACCTTACTGGCTTCAGCTCTGGCAAGTTTCTGAAATATCCCTAGATTTCTCCATTACTTGCTTTAATTGGCACAAGGTGGCGTTGGTGCGCACAGCCCTTGCATCAAAGTGAGTCCGGCTAGCGAGATAGCCTTCTGCTTGCAGACTGTGGATTACCCTTTCAACCCTGCATCAAAATAAACCCTGTTTCGATCAATCTATCAAATGCGGATTAGATAATATTCCAACTAATAATATTTTTATAGTAATTTTTACATAGAACAAAATGGATATTACTCTGCTACATGCTAAAATTCCAGTTTATTCACCTTAACAGGTTTCCAGCCTTCAGGCTATGCCGATGAAGGTTGTAGAAAAATGCCGGCATGGTCGGCTCAACGTTGAACTCTTCTCGTCTTTTCTTCCTCAGCCCCGCAGCCTCTTCACTCGCACAACGTTTCACCTGTCTGTTCTCATTCACTAGAGGCTTCATCTGCTCAGCAACAGCAGCAGCGCCATCTATTGGCACATTCTCGAGGATTCCACCATCAGATTTGTTCGTCACGTCCCGCACTGGCGCAAATTCTCCAACGTTACTGGTATCACAAACGTTGGTTTTTTCATGGCACTGTTGAGTATCACTTTCTTGGTTTGTCTTTGGAGGTGTTGTACTACTGGCTGTCGTAGTTCTACACGGTGCATCTATTCCGGAGCATCTAGCCTCTGACCTCATTGTTTGTAACATCGAGATCAACCTTCCGTCGTTCAACTTCATCCGTCGAGTTTCATCTAGCATGGCGTTCAGAAAACTCTCATCATACAAATCTCCCGACCTGTCGAAACAAGTATAGGTAAATTAACTGAGTAAATGATACGTAGAACACTTGGAAATAATAATGGTTACATTTATATATCTTAAACGGTTGAAATGCGGAATTAAATAATACCGATAATTCAAAAATTGCAATTACCATACTGGGCCAACTACCACAGCTGTCCTTCCTGTGATTTCTTCACTGCACTTACAGGAGAGCAAAGAACAAGGTTTCTCTGTAAAGATAATAAATTATGCACAGACGAAGTCTTTTTGTTTTGCACGCTATAAATATGATACTAACATAAAATAGGAGGTCACAAAGATTTGAAGACAATCAGATGAATAAATGGATGACTACTCACACGACTATAATTATCATGACTCTCACACTAGAAGCAGTAGAAGGCATCTATATTTATTAACAGGAGACATACATACCAAGCGGCGCTGGAGATCTTGGAATAAACGTCCGCTCCTCGCACATCTGGCAGTGCAAGACTTTCTGTATTTTGGAGAGGCACTGGTCTGCGAACGTAGTTCCGCGGTACACGTGTACTGCTGTGAAGATGAAGTGTTCAGCAGCAGCTGTCACTAGTACCTTTACACCTTTGTTACATCTTGCAGCTGCCCTGAAGAACATAGAACACCAGTCATTTGACCAATCTAATCCAGGTCTATTTTGACTAAAAGATACCCACTTGCATATTGGGCCGTAATTTCCCCTGTCAGTGTTGTCAAGTCTCACCTACACCCCTCTGTAGATGTCATTTGACATCAGACTCACAGTAGCACACGAATCTGAGCAACAGATTAAGCAAAACTAAAATTTAATGCCAATATGTTGCGAACAAAATACTACGGCTGTGGCGCTATGTTATAAAGTTGGCAATGATTAAAGTCTAGTAAAGGATTAAAGATGATAGGAAGACACGCATTCCCAAAGATTTCATACACAGGCCAAGATGGGTATATACTCGTTCATGACTGTTCGAAACTCTTACTAGATAGTAGTACTAACCTAACAACAGCTGCTAAGATCAACCTAGCTGCCAGCTCCTTGGTGTACTCATTCTTCATGGATGTACCAGAGTAGCTTCGCAGGGTTACCTGAAATTGTTTAATAGACATCAGCATCGCTGCATTTCGCTGCAACATGTTCAGTACGAACTTCATTATTTAACTCAGTACATTTCTATTAATATTAGTCACTGTTATCTGTACTGGATTAATCACAATATATTAGGAAATAAAATGTACCTGAGGGCACTTTCCATACAGGGCTGACACATCGGTTGCAGTTATCGTTAGGACACCATCATTCCTTATATTTCTGAAGGCAGCATCCAGATAATACACAGGACTTCCATAGGGATCCAGGTGCCTGTATTTTTAACATAATCAAACGTACTCCTGACAAATGTATTAATATTCACAAGTCTGTAAACTATAGCAATGTTAGTAATATAATGTTATTCAATGTTTAAAAATTCAAAAGAAGATCATGCACTAGGTAATTTTAAAGAACATACACAAAATCAAATCCTCGCTGATGCAGAAGAACGTTAATGTCAGAGTGAACGACTTCTACTTCACTCGCATCTCCATCTGCAGTCACTGAATCTGAATCATCCACACCGGAACTTGCTCCCATGGGAGGGTCTCTTCCCTGAAGCCCAACTCCAACGTTATCCGCTGTACCAATGATCTTTGACATTCCCAGTGATTGACTGGTTGGTGTAAGACTGTCAAACACTTCTTCCTTTGGTTGCTCTGTGACCGATGCGATTTGGTTCAATTTGCAATTTTCTCTGATACAAGCCACTGCTGTTTCGTTATTGTCACAGAGAGTGACCTTTACTAGATCCTGAAAATATCTCTTCCAAGTGAGTCCCATCAGCCCTGAAACAGATGAACATTCAAACAAAGGGACAGTAAAAACACACCAGTTATGACCGAACATATAGATGATAAGTTGATACTAATTAATTGTTAATTTTGAAACACTAGACTTGTACCTCAGGTGTACAGCTTCATAAATGTGAACTAAATACACGACAATAGCAATCAACTATATTTTCACTATACCTGTCGCAGAAAATGCATCAAGACATTCAATCTTTACATGGCTTTCCTTCTTAACCCAAGACAAATAGCCAGCCAACGTACACAGTACTAGATTTCTAAAACAATATAAGTCAGTAATTAGTACATTATAAATGAATCAATAATTGTGTTCAAAATTAAACTCAGCTTGTTTCGTAAAATACGTTGTTTTACAGCCGTGGCATAGGCGTAGGTGATATGACGTGCAATTTTTAATAAGAATTAACGTGCTGGACAACCTTTTTCTGTTCCTTTTATAACTTATAAGTACATGCCTTTTCTCAAAGACGTAGGCTTTATTGAGTATTATTACTCCTCGACATGCGACAATGAATGTAACTTGCCCGCACGTACAACACACGAACGCACGAACAAGCCCGCACGTACAGCACACACGCGGCCATTGACTATAATAACAACATAATGATCAAACTGATGTTCAATGAACAAATCAATTTAATCAAATCAAACATTCAATTGAACAAATCAATTTACATCATTGCAAACACACCTTCCCAACCTTGAAACAATCAACTTTACATCACTTCAACATTCAATTGAACAAATCAATTTAATTCATTCAAAATTCCAATTGAACAATCAATTTAATCATTTCAACATTCAAATTGAACAACATTTTAATCATCTTCTCAATGAGCAATTAAATAATGAATGCCAAAATTAATCAATGAAATAGGGCGTATTGAATCATGAATGGAGCATCGCCGCTCGATATCCGCAAATAAACCACATGCGCAGAATAAGCAGACAGCGGAAAACGTGGTAGCACGTAACTGTGCTAGAAAACGCAACTCGGCCAACCCGTCCCACCTGAAGTGTGTGTACCGCGTTTCGCTGCGCTGACCGCAGTGTAGCCGCTGCGTTGCGTGTACCGCTTTGCGGGCTTTACGCGTGCGTGTCTATCCCGCGTTGCACGTGCGTCGCTGGACCCTGCGCTGTCCAGCGGTGTACGTGCCTGGTCCCGTACCGCGTGTACCGGGCGTTTACGCGTTCGTCTTACGTGCGTTCTCTACCCGCCGCACTGCTTACGGCGTTGTAACGCTGCCGGCGACGCTCGTATCGTAAGCCCGCCCTTGCACGCCTGCGCTGTCGTTACTTCCGCCAGGTGTGTACGTGCAGCAGTACTCGCGCGTCACGCTGCGTGGATCGTGCCGGTACCTGCGCCCTTCACGCTGCTGTGTCACCGCGTGTGCTGTGCCGTTATCTCCGTGTACACGCACTGTATGCTGCGGCGTGTAACTTGCGTGCCTTACGACGCGCGCGCCACGTGCGGTGCCACGTTTACGACCAGGTACACGCACGTACACGCGAGCTCACACCACAGCCACTACACGGCTGCTGTCACGCACGTGCACCACGCGGGTAACAGCATTAGGGACGGGGGGGGGCAACCCGCTCCCGGCGCACCGCACGTCCCACGGCACGTGCACGCACGTACCGCGCACGTACACGCGGTCACACGCACGTACACGCGCGTACACGCACCGCCTCACACGCCGAGTATCTACAAGCAAGTACACGCCGCCCGGGCCTTGCCGCCATCGACCCGTCAGCCACGGCGCGGTACACGCCACCGTGACCGGCACATTTACACGCCACGCTCGCACCCCCACAGTACCCCGCACGTACACGCGTCACCCGCACCGTTAGCACGCGAGTACACCCGTCACACGCTTCGGACCACGCACTACACGTGGCGTAAGAACGCACGTGCACCACCGTACACGCACCCTACACGCGCCGCGCCACAGCGCACGCTACACGCGGGTACGCACGCGGCGCTAACGCCCGGTACACTCACGTACACGGCGGCCGGTACACCGCCACGTACACCGCGGGGTACCACGCCAACGCTACCCACGGCCGGCTCGACCACGCTCCCGCTAAACGCGGTACACCCGACACGTCAACGCGTGCGCCAGGTCTGCGCCCGCGCGGTCTACCGACCCAACTACTTAGCTGGAACACGTGCCTCGGTCCCGCCGACTTGCGTTTCTAGCCCAAACGTACGGCTCACCTCCAGTTTCCATCAGGCTCTCTCTCCATATCTCCACTGCCCAGTCCAATGTGATTAATCTGGCCATATCCACCGATGCCTCGCGCGATTTGCTCCCCATCTCCCCAGTGATTCAGACTATCGCCTTAGTTTCATTGCATTTCAAGCGTCTGGCTCAATCTCTATTACTCTATCAACTTGCCTCAACTGATCGTCATTGGAAGGATTTAAAGTGCACATTGGTCAACTTGGACATGTTTGAAGTCATGTTGCACTTAAAATTGATTGTCGTCATGAATGTTTGAGATGCGTTAAATCGACTGGTTCCACACTTGATATGTTTGAATGCATTAAACTATCTGGTTCAATCGATATGCATTTCGAATGGATTATAATTGACTTGTCTCAATTGAATGGGTTGACATGATTAAATTTGACCTTGCTCTCATTGCAACACGATCAATTGATTCAACTTTGAACCGTTCATTGTATTACTTCATCATGATAAATGACCTGTTTCAATCCCGCTCTGCAAACAATCAATCGATCAATTGAAGCGCTCTTCGCAGATGATTACGACTTGATGCTTTCAAGTTAAAACAATCAAGTCCCAGATCAACGATTTTGAACGTCTTAGAATTTCTCGACACACTCATTCCCCCTTTCCATACTCTAATACTCGCAGCCGGTCCGCCGCGATCTGACCATTAAGCGGTCGGCTGCTCTCTGATAACGCGTACAGCTGCAACACGGCACGACGCGCCAGTCTACAAGAAGGTCGGCCCCGCCTGCTAACCTCAATAACCGGACGCCGGTAATCAAGAGAGTCCCTAGTACGCGGATACCATAACGTAAGCGTTCAGAGTCTTTCAATTTCTGCAGCCCCCAGCCGAGTCGACGAGCCGCCAAAAGTACTGGACAAACCGGTAAGCTCATCATGTGTTTGTTTCCATCACTCCCTCATAATAGCTGTCCTCTCCATAGCGACAGTTTCTCTGCCGTTACGCTAGTGTTATCATCTTTATGACCACACCATACACGCATCAACCCAGAGCAACTCTGGTATACATCCATAACTCCCATTCCAATGAGAACATTTATAATATCAACCAACTCCTCATCACTTTCGTTCCCCTATCTTAATCCATTGTTTATGTTCCACCTAAGCAATTATATCTAGAAGTAAAATCTGCCTTCCCCCGGGACAGGTGCATCCCTACAAGTTGGACCATCGTCATGCGTAGTCGTCTGCTGCTCGGTGAGCATGGCACCGGTCTGCAGCCGCTGCTGTGTTGTGCTTGACGCCGTCGCTGTGTGTCGCTCCCGCCATTGTCGTCAGATCGCGTATACCTCCCCCATGTCCGCAGTCGCTCGCGCTCAGGCTCGCCATACGCCGCGCGTCCTCTCCCCCTGGCCCCACCCGCCCCCAGATACCGCCGCAGGTCCCCGATTTGCCGCCCGCGCTCTCTTCCAGCGGTGCGTCTCCTCTCCCTATCCCCGTGCCTCCGACTCCTCTCCCCCCCCTCTAAGGCACTAGCGCGCGGCCCCGCGCCCCCCGCTGTGTGGGCCCTGGCCCGCGCCGTGGTCTCGTTCCCCGGCGCCTGGCGTCCGCCCTCGACGACCCCCGCCTCGCGCTCGCCCTGCCACCATGCACGACGAACTGTGTAGTTCGTGCTGGGCATTCGCGCTCCTGCCGGGGGCGCCGCGGCAGGTTACTCCGCGCGCCTGCTACCGCGTCCGCCGTTACGCGCGGGGTGTGCATCTGGCTACAAAAAAGGTCGGTAGTGACAATGCCAGTCCAATCCTGGCAGCTACCGGCTGCAGTAGTGCTAATCCGGATGCTTAGCTCTATACTGTAGCCCGGCGCGTACAAGTTGCCGCTGGCCAGTCAAGAGCTAATAAATACCTTTATTATAGCCTCACGTCACCTCGCTCGAGCAACAACTTTAAGCTACGCCAAAAGTAGCAGCCAGCAGCGAGCAGCGACAGCAACCAGTATATCAGCTCAGCCCAGCGGAGTATCAGTAGCAGCTATCAGCAACACGTCAGCAGCGCAGCAGCAGCCCCTGCTAGACAGTTACCAGCTCAGCAGCCGCAGAACAGCAGCAGCTCGCCAGCAGGTCAGCTAGCCAAAAAATAAGCTTATACGCGAGCGAGTAGCAGCACGACAGCAGCGGAGCTAGCAGTAGCCAGCGTACCGTGTAGGCAGTACGTAGGAGACGCAGGAACAGTAGCCAACCAATATCCAGTAGCGAGTGAGTTCCCAGTAGCAGTAGCAGCAACCGCAGCCAACAGCGCAGCCAGCCGTAGCACGCGCCAGCCATCAACAGCACGCAGTAGCAGCAGTGAGGAGAGCCAGTAGCCACAGTAGCAGCAAAGCAAGGATTAACAGCAGTCGTACGCCAGCAGCTAGCCAGCAGTAACCAGTGCTTACACATCCCTGCGTCCGCTAAGCAGGTTTTTACCCCAGATCTGGCGTGTTTTCAGTTCAAATCGGGGTATCCTCGGGGTTCTTTACTCTGCGAATCTTGGTTTTCCTTGAACACAGTGGAGGTTCAATTTCGTCAGAGTATAATTTAGTGTCCCGCCGCCCTGCAGCTCAAGGCGAAGTCATACGGGAACCAGAACATGACGTCGCATTAGCCTTCACCAACCGTATACATAACTGTCTTATAGACGGTACTCTGTCCCTCCTCACAAGTCGACTATAGGGCTTAATTCCCTATCGCAGATAAGCCCTATATCGAGCTTGTGAGAAAGGCACCGCGCGCCTTCACCCCGGTACCGTCGTATTGCCCCCTCGCCGCCGACACACCCAGTCTATCAACAGTACATCGTCCAGTCACTCTATCGTCCAGCCCTTCCTTCTGCCCATAATCGGTTCCTTGACCAGTGGTCCTTAACAACGATTGGAAAACATGTATTAAGCTATAATAGATTATATAGTATTATATTATTTATGTTTGTGCTAATATTATATCTATCTTATTCCAATATGTATTTTTTTAATTATATTGATGTAGAATATTTGATTAATATAATTTTTATATTTTATTTTTAATTGAGTGGGTGG